TTTAAAAATTTAAAAATAATTTATTATATATATTTTAAAGTAATTAATAAAATAAAAGTGTCCAATACTTTTTTCCACCCCCTGTATTTCTTTTACTTGGTTAGTTTATAATTTTTTATTTTAATTACAAAGTTATTCTTATTATTTGTCTTATAATTTCTTATCTATATTAGTAAAGTTATATTTCTTATAATATTTGAGATTAATCTCTCATTTATATTAGTGAAATTAATAGTTTATAATTAAATTAATAAAAGAAATTATATTCAATTTATTTATAAACCAATTATTAAAAGAACATAATTATCTTTAAATATTTCTGATTTTATTCTAGTTAATCAACAAATAAATATATATTATCTACTTTTAGATATTTATATTTTCTCTTTCACTTAAAGTTATATCTTATAAACTCTCTTACCTGATTTGATAACACATATCATTTTATAATTAGTACTTTAGCTGGATTAGATTGAATTTTATCTTTGCTAATAATATGTTTAAGAAAGCTAAGTATTATTTTTTCAAAGTAATATTTGTTGAATTGTAATTTTTATTTACTTTCTTCAATTTTATCAAATACTTTTTTAAGTAAACTAAATATTTTTCAAAAGTATTGGAAAATACTTGTATTATCCAGATAAATTATTACAGATTTGTTAATACAAGACTTAAAAATCTTGATTATTGAAATATTGCTAATCTATTGATAAGTTCAAAAAATACATTTACTTTGATTATTTCAGTATAAAATCTCTATTAACTTTTATTATAAAATCCCCAAAATGGTAACAATTCAATGTTAAAAAACGTTAATATTGTTTCTCTAAACACTAGATCACTAGTTATAATAAACGCACATACAGGACTGTTTCATTGTTGTGCGTTGTACATACTCAGATCAGATTATGTAGTAGATACCCGAGCATTCAATGCCAAGCACTGACGTGTCTGTACAAGTTTTGATAACATAAAGTTCCCCTCACTTTTTACGAAATCAAAAAAATCGACCGGCAGCTTCCTCTTCAAACCAAAAAATAAATAACTGTCAACCTACTACTCTGAAAGTATCAAATTTTCTAATCAGAAATTCATCATAGGACACACAAATCAAAAATTAAGCAAAAGCAGACTTTCTCTTTAATATAAGGAAATGAGGTTAACCTTGAACAATAATACAAGCATCTCAGCGCCAGCAGCTACAACTACTACAACCAATAGTGGTGGTGGCGTGAATGGCTCAACAACTACAAGAACTGTTACCACATCAACATCAAATACGTCGAATTCTACTAGCTCACCCTCGCAATTCTCGTCGACTCTGTTACAGCAGTTGTCGCGCTCAAATACCTTTCAAACTTTCATTCAATCATTAAATAATAATAGTTCGACAAGTCGTAGTAACGACAGCTTTGACGAATTTTTTAATTCGAGGATCTTGCCGCACTCTACCTCTAATCGACAGACGTCGCCAAACCGTGGAGGTTCTCTATCGTTGCATAGACGAAGCTCTATGCGCGATCATAGAGTGATGAAAAGAAAGTGGCGAAATACACATACTACTACTGGCGAGTTTCCATTATCTTTTGATATTGTGTATTGTGATGGTGGCTATTATAGGTGAATATTATTTCTGAGTCGAAGAAGCAAAAATTTATTGATGAAATTTTATAGTTTGTTCATGTGCATGTATGAAGAATCTGAATTATATTTAGTATGGAAAGCTCTCATTATCTGTACGGAGACAACGATCTTACTCATCTCTGCTTAAGAATTTAGCAACTCGTAAAAAATTTGGATTCTTATTTTTAAATTTGTGGGTCGAATGATTGTTACGAAATGAGAATCCCTTCAAAGACCCTTCATTGTTCAAAGAAATATCCGGTTACTTTGAAAGGGAATATCTTGGTCAGTTTCCATCCAATTTTCATGAAATAATTACTATTCGATTTGTCTCGACAGGACGAATCGAATGATGGTGTCTGACCAGGATAATTCATTGATTGTGCAAACGAGGATGATGAAGCTCAATAGCAAAGAGAACTTGGATCAATCAATCAAAAGTATATTTATGTTAACCAAGCAGTCTTTTTTATCTTCTTAGTGATTCCTATAATGTCGAAAACATACTGAGGAATGATAATAATGTATATTGGTAAGTGTTCGTTCGGTGGCCTTGATCCATCCATAACAGCTTTCAACAATGCCAAATTAAGTGATGGTATTAATTTTATTTTAGTTCCTCGAAAAGTACCAACATCAACATTATCTTGAGATTTCACGATCATAATCAAGATGTCATGGATGCACCATTTGTCTTGACGAAGATCATTGTAAAAGCACCGACACAAGGATACACAGCACCATGTGAGTATTCAGCTATGTATGAGTTTATTGAGTTTACGGATATATGACTAATAAATATCAATTTTTGTATTCAGGTAAAGAAGGTTTAATATTTGTCTCGCATGAACCAATATCACTAGAAGGTAAAACAAAAGAATAATTAGATTCTCTTTTCTCTTTTCTTTTCTATTCTCTTTTCTAATTTTATCATGATATCTCCCTCAATTAGCTACTTCAAAGTATGATGATTTTACAGAGTCTGATTTTCAGGCTCTATTAGCGAGTGGGGTAAATGGAAGGATTGAAGATCATTGGCCCGCTGCATACTTTCGACTTGATTCACGAACAAATTTTATCACTCAAAATATTAATCCAAATCGGTATGTGATTAATAAATATATTGAATGATTTATGCTTCGTGTCAAATTTCCACTAAATTATAATAATCTTCATTATGATTTAGTTCTGGAAAATTTATTTTGGTAAAGTTGCTTCGGTCTGAAGGTGATGAGGATAACATTGATCTTCAGTATTTGGGATTAATTGGGTTCACTGGACCAAGATCATTTGATGCTGGTTCCTTGAGGTGAAGAGAGAAATTCAGAGATATCAAAAGATCGAAATATAAAGGATATCTATAAGTGAATTATTTTAGTTAAGCTTTTATTATTTTGCTAATATTCAGAGATCCTTTCTTTCTTTCTTTCTTTTTTCTGTAATCTTAGTACAACCAACCATTTCTGAATTGCTCATTATCTTTATTATGTTTCACATAATAACCTATTATAATGTCATTTCTAAAGAACAATCAATTTTGATTTTAAATCTTGTCTTTACGACTTACTACGTCAAATTTTTCCAATGAACATTACCTAAGGAATACTTGGTAGTATTTTTTTTTTGCTTTGTTCATTGAGCAACCATCAAAACATTTTATTTGTTTATAGAATTATTTATTTATTTTTCTTTTTTTGTATAAAATTAAAAATGGACATTTTTTTTGGCGTGGTGATTGCTTTAAGTTTATTGATAAGATATCATTTTCTTATGCACATATAGATTTTAATAATGTTAATTTAATTTAAGCTAGAACGCAAAATATTTATGGCAAGAATTTCAAGATGAATGAAATATTATAATGCAACGTTTCAATTAATTTAATCATGGCTTCAAATAAAAATGGTTTGACAGAAACCTCCAAAACAGATAATGGTAGTGATAAATTAGTTGCTTCGTCTGAATGGATATCTTTAACTGACGATAATGGGATAAAAAAGCGTATAATAACAAAAGGAACCGGGCCAGAATTACCTTCGCGTTCTTTCGTGGCAGGTAACTTTCCGTAAGGAATTCTCGGACTTTTTTATACTAACTTATTGAAACAAGATATAGCCTAATTCTTTCGCACATAAAAGTACAGTATAGTAGCTGGTTGCTGACGAAAAAAAGTAAGGGTGAACATGAAATATTGACGGAAACGTTGATTGAATCAACAGAGGATAGATATGGAACGCCATTTACTTTTCAACTTGGTTCAGGTAATTTACATCGGATTTTTCCAATTTTATCAAATTTTTAAAATTCAACTTTAATTTTTTTAATTTTTTTTGTAAAGGTCAAGTGGTTCATGGGTTGGATGAAGCAGTAAAAACCATGTTTGTTGGCGAGAAATGTGAAATTTCATTGACATCAGAATATGGTTGGTAAAGTTATATCTTATAATTAACTCGATCATCAAATTGATTGGACTTTTGATCTAATCTTATATAGCCTATGGGAAAATTGGATATCTTCCATTCATTCCTCCTAATGCCGATCTAAAGTACGAAGTAGAAGTATTAAGATTCACCGAGGTAAATTTGGATCTAAATAAAGAAAACCTAATATTTACAAGAGATCTCTTTTTTTTTCGACTGATTTCTATTTATTCACAAAAATGCATACAGCAACCAGTAAAACGCAAGCTGCTCAGACTGACAAAGTTAAAACAGGAAGGCAATGAATATTACAAAAAGAACGATTCTATACGAGCAAGAGAATACTATCAAAAAGTTTGTATTATTTTCTATTATGAGATTCTATTTATTGCATCTTGAACGCGATGAATAATAATAATAATATTGAAATTCCAGGCCCTCGGAATCATTGAAGACGAAGCAACAGAATATGCACAAGAACCATCAAAAACAGATGCAGATGCGGCTGTAACTGTAACTGAAGCATCAGGATCAAAAATATCGAAAAGACTCATAAACAAAGAATTTCAAGAATTATTTGTTATTCTGAATTCTAATACTGCTGCTTGTTTTTTAGCAGAACGAGATTTCTTTGGTGCGAAAAAACACTGTAAAGAAGTATGTCTTCTTTTTATATTATTTCAATAAACCATTATCTTTTGGAATTCTTCAATTCATTAATAAAATAATTAATCACACAAATTGATGATCAAAGGCTCTCGAACAAGACCCCAATAATGTCAAAGCACTCTACAGACTTGGTCAGGCATTCCTCGGAATGAATGAGTTCGATGAAGCGATTAAACAAGTAGATCAAGGACTATCGGTATTAGATAATATTTTTATTGACAATTGCGGTGAGAAATTTCAATTTTATTTATTTGTATTTTTTTTTTTAGATTGCACCAAACGATAACTCGCTTAAATTGTTGAGAGAAAAAATTGTGTCTGCAAGAATTCAATCCGAGAAAAAAGAAAAGAATATGTATAGTAGGATGTTTTCTTCTACTTAAAGATCCAACCAATAGATTTGATATGAAAAAATTTTAATTTGTGTTACTATAAATATTTTTGTGGCTGATTATGAGATCTCGTGATCTCATTAATTTTTCGCGATTCTTTGAGGCGGCGCGTTCAATCATGACAAGTATTTTCTTCACTGCTAGTCTTACTGACAAGGTTGATTCCAATTCAGTTACCAAGAATAACAACACAATCACCACTACTACCACGAACGCTGGTCATGTCAACTCTTTCTACTCCTAACGTGTCTAAACGATCAATTATTGAAAATAAAGAGCTTAGTCGATTACCAACCGATATCAAATTCTATGCGGTCTTAGTTGGTGGTGCTCTAGCTATTGCTACCATCGGGGCTGGCCTTTATTACTATATCAATTCAAGGTCACCCCGTCCCAAATCGAGCAAGAAAGAACAATCAATCACTCCATGGGAAGTAGAAGGAGCGGTCATTGACGGAAAACCGCAAGCCATAAATTATGATAAGCTAATTGAGCAGTTTGGTACAAAACCGATATCTAATGAATTGTTGACAAGGCTAGAGAACTTGACGGGAAAAAAACCACATCTTTTGTTGAGGAGGGGTGTGTTTTTCTCACATAGGTATTTTTTCTTTCGTATATTTTTTTTTGATACGATAAACTCAGCTATTGCTTTACACGATGATAACTCATTATATTATATTTATACACATAAAAAAAGAGAACTCGAGAATATTCTTAATAAATATGAACAAAAGAAACCGTTCTTTTTGTACACTGGTCGAGGACCAAGCAGTACAAGCATGCATCTTGGTCACATGATTCCATTTGTGTTTTGCCAGTATGGTATCCTTTCTTATTTTGCTATTTTTTTTTTTGATTATAAAATTCTATAATGTTTTTGCTTTATAGGTGGTTACAAGAAGTATTTGATGTTCCTCTGGTGATTCAATTAACAGGTTAACTATTATCAGTTTATTTTTCTTTAATAACTGCAATTTGTTGAAAAAACGCAATATATTGACCAATTTGCTTTTGGTAATCAATACTTTGTATTATATCTCATCACAACAGATGACGAAAAATTCCTTTTCAAAACTGATTTGACACTCGATGACGCACACAAATTTGCATTTGAGAATGCTAAAGATATTATTGCGTGTGGTTTCAACCTGGAGAAAACTTTTATTTTTTCAGATTTTGATTATGTTGGGTGAGTAATAAATATTATAAATGGAATATTATTAAAATAATACTTCAATTACTGTTTATTATCGATAGAGGAGCTTTTTATCACAACGTCGTAAGAATCGCAAAAAGCATCACGTCTAGTCAGTCGAAAGCGACATTTGGATTCAACGATAGGTTATTATTTTATTATATAATTATGATTATTTGACTGAATTAAACCTTTCCCTTTTGACCCTGGATTCTGTACATTTTTTCGTCTCAACATCACATTGTACTGGATAATATCTAGCGACTGTATTGGAAAACTTCATTTCGTGGCAATCCAAGCTGCTCCTTCCTTTTCAAACTCATTTCCACAGATATTTGGCAAGAAAAGTGATATCCCATGCTTAATTCCTTGTGCTATTGATCAAGTAAAAAACTTTTTCTCTTTATTTCCCAAGTATAATTGTTATTTTTTACTGATAATTTTATTACTTGAAAAAAGGATCCATACTTTCGATTAACCCGTGATGTAGCTCACAAACTCAAATACCCAAAGCCAAGTTTAATCCACGCGAAATTTTTCCCGGCACTTCAAGTAATGATAATAAATAATTTACTCGAAAATCACTCTGTATTAAGGTTTAATTAATTATCTATAGGGGCCTCAAACTAAAATGTCAGCATCGATAGACAGCTCGGCGATATTTCTAACAGATACAGCCAATCAAATAAAGAAAAAAGTATATTTTAATTTATTTTATCTTTCATTAACGATATATGCTTTTGGTTGAGTGAATATTTCTCCTATTTTTTCCTCAATAAATTCCTAGGTCAATAAATACGCTTTTTCAGGAGGCGGTGACACTCTGGAACTACACAAACTAAATGGTGGAAACCCAGACATCGATGTTGCCTATCAGTATTTAACAATGTTTCTAGACGACGATGATGAATTGGAGGACATATATAAAGTCTGTATTAAATTTTTTTTTACTTCGTGTTTATTGTCTGAGGTTAAACTAATAATATTTTTTGTGCTTTTATAGAAATACAAATCTGGTGAGTTGATGACTGGTGAACTAAAAGCTAAATGTATTGCAGTCCTCCAAAAATTCGTGGGCGATTTTCAAAAGGTTTTTTTATTTATCGTTTACGTGTTGATTAGTTCAAAAAAATATTTTAAAATCTAAATCGATATTTTAACATAGCGTAAATCTGAGATAACTGATGATCTGGTCAAGCAATTCATGAACCCAACTCGTAAAATTGTAGTCAATGATTTGGATGGGAAATCTAAGATAAATGATGACCCAACTCGTAAAATTGGGAAATCTGATGATCAAGTTGAAATTTTACCGGAAGTCAAAATTAGCGAATCATAATAGGGAATTATAAAATTAGTCAAGGGGGGGGGGGGTTGTCACTAGACCGAATCAGTTTATGGGAAGAATATGAGTTTAGCGAACGTTATGTAAATTATGTGCATTGATTCATCAAATCGTCGTCGTAGTGTCACTATTACATTAATAGTTGTTGAACATGTATTCCATCAAATTAATATATATGCCAATTTTCACAATTTTATAAATTAATTTAAAAGTTTGAACGGAATCTTTCGCATAATTTTATTTATTTAAAATGACAAAATTTGGAGGTTGTTTATGTTGGGATTGGCATTGTATAATCAAAAAATCCACACTATGAAGATTTGCAATAATATGTTTGATTAATTATTAACTTAGACCCAACTCGCAAAATCGTAGTTGAAGGTTTGGATGAAAAACAAAAAACTACTTAATCTAATTACAAAAAATGGTTGTTATTAATTAAAGGAAGAAAAAAATAGTTTACCAGAGTTCCAAAACTCATTTTTCTATCAATCTTCGGTAATTCGGGCAGTTAACGGTCCGGTCCTATGTAAAACATAGAACCGTCTCTATCGGCACCATAAACTATCGATTTTGCCGCTCTTATAAAATCTTTTATTTTTACCGGATCTTTTTCATTATCAGTCTCAACACCACTAGAGACATCAACAGCGAATGGTTTTACTTTTTCTATAGCATCTTTAACATTATCGGGTGTCAGTCCTCCCGCAAGAATCAACGGAAAGTTTTCCCCGGCACTCTGTTTCACTTTTAATGCAATGTTCCAATCAAACGAAACCCCCGATCCACCTGACGATCCGCTTACTTTTGTGTCTAATAGGCAAAAAGCGTTGTAACCTGGTTGCGTGACGAGAATTGGATCGGAGAATGTTTCATCGACATGAAAGGCTTTTATCACGGGGACTGGTAAAAATTTGGTAAGGTCTAATGGTTCATCGCCGTGTAGTTGTACAAGATCAAGTTTCAAATAGTCCACAATTGCAGTGATTTCTTCCAAAGGTTGGTTCTGGAATACACCAACCAATAAAGGTTTACGTGCGCGACTTAATCTGGTCGCATGCAACCTAAACCAGTTATGATGTCCGGATAAAGTGTGCGGTGAATTGTTGTTATTGTTTTCGGTGAATCGTTTAATGTCATCGATTTTTATTTGCTTTTCGGATTGTAATTCTCTGACTACCGCTATAATTTCTAAAGCACGATCGAGCGGTACTTGTCGTCTTGATTTTGCAAAAATGAGACCAATTAAATCAGCACCTGCATCCACAGCTTCTATTGCTGCATTCACAGTTGAAACACCGCAAATTTTTATTAGCGGTCTATTTGGCATGTCCGAAAGAGTTTTATTTACTTGTTCTAATCCTAAAATCTCGTGAATAAATGCACGTTTATCTTCTGCTCTCATTAGCGCTTCGCCAATTAATAAAGCACCGACACCTTGATCAAGATATTCGATCACATCCTGGCGTCCAGTTATACCGCTTAATGCGACCAAAATTACACCTTTTGGGACCATTTCGGCCAAACGCGAGGTTGTTTGCATATCCACACTAAAAGTATGAAGATTTCGATTATTTACACCGATTACTTTAGCCCCCAAATTTGTCGCTCTTTTCATTTCTTCTTCGTTATTTACTTCTACCAATGGTTCCATACCAAGATTTTTTGCGAATTTATACAATTCTAAGAGTTTTTGGTCCGACAATATCGCGACGATCAGCAGGACTGTATCTGCACCGTAAATACGTGCCTCCATTATTTGATAAGTGTCAACGATAAAATCTTTACGTAAAACCGCAGGACGATTAGGAATTGTAGACACTATATCACGAACTTGGCGAAGATCATTTAGACTGCCCTTGAACCATTTTTCTTCAGTCAAAACAGATATTACAGATGCGCCTGCTCTTGCATATGCCAATGCTTGCTCTGCCGCATTAGCCGACAAATCAATATTTCCTTTACTTGGAGAAGCGCGTTTTACCTCTGCCATAATTGCCGGATATTCCGGTAAAGTCTGTTTGATCCTCGAAACGAAATCAACTAACGGAGGTGCAACATGTAGCGATAACAATTTCTGCAAATCAAAAGGAGTTGATCCTGGTGTTTTTTTAGCGGTTTCTATATCTTGCAATCGTTGTTTATGTATTTTTTCCAAAATGCTAGGAATTGCTTGTTCTTTGACTGTGACTTTAGTGAGTGGAGTTTCGACATTATAAGTTGGATTTTCTTCCCATTTGCCACCTTTAAGTTCGAGAAAATTCTTTAGAATAGTTTTCCCGTGTTCGCTGATAATACTTTCTGGATGAAACTGAACACCTTCAATAGTGTATTCATGATGTCTAACCCCCATAACCACATTATTATCAGTCCAGCAAGTAACAACAAGCTCTTCAGGCAACGTCGCCGCTTGACTGGCCAAAGAGTGATACCGCGTAACAGCAATATCTTGTGGCACATTAATGAATATCCCCTTAGAGTCATGCTTAACTTTCGAGGTTTTCCCGTGCACAATTTCACCCGCGTAGCTTACTTCTCCGCCAAAAACTTCAAATATACATTGTTCGCCAAGACAAACACCCAATATCGGTATTTTACCAGCAAAGTATTTAATAGAAGCTTGTGAAATACCGGAGTCAGTGGATGGTTGACCTGGTCCCGGGGAAATTACAAGGTTTACCGGTTGAAATGTCTGTATTTCTTGAATGGTTGTTTGGTCGTTGCGAAAAACCAATACTTCTGCGCCAAGTTCGCATAGGTATTGGTAAATGTTCCAGGTAAAAGAGTCGTAGTTGTCTATTAGAATAGTCGTCATTTATGAAGTTTTATATGAGCGAAATTAAAGTGAGGCTTATTTGCACAAACACCTCTTTACACAAACATCTATCTACACAAAACTAGATCGTGCTTCAAACATCTATACGACGATCGGTAAATTAATGCATGCGTGTGATTGGTTAAAAGACGTGTCAAATAATCAAGACGCGTAGGTTATTTGAACTTCAGAAACTTGATACTTATTACACTTTTTACCTCTTAAAATGCCACCAAAATACCCTGGTCGTAATAACAAAGCTCCTCCACAGCCTCCAAAGTCGAGCGACGAAAGTTCCGTTAGTCCTGACAAAGAAGATGGGTAATTGTGAAGAATTCTCTTATGTCTAATCTGAATTTCTTCTTCTAACTAATAATTCTTTTTTTAAACAGAGATGATATTATTCAGATATTTGCTGCTTTTCATAGTACGAATTATAGTTTTTTAAAAGAAACGAACAATGCCATATTATTAGTTTAATATTTGCTATTATCAGATCGTATGGAGAAAAAGGCCAAACAAAAACAAAGTAGACTTGCCTCGGAATGTGATGCTACAATTCAATATATTAATGATTTGGCTACTGAACTTGTGAAACGACATAAATTTGAATTGTATGTTACTTGATCAAATTAATTAATTTAGTTTTGATTATATGAATATATAACTAAATAAATAAAATTAATTGACAGAAACACTAAAATTAGCGAATATAAACGAAAACACGAAGAACTGGAACAGGAACGATTAGACATTGTCAAAAAACTGAGATTGGAAGAGGTTAAATATTTGGTATAGATTATTAGGTTATTTGTGTGTATGTCTGGATTGTGATATTGCTGGTGTATTATTTATATAGTTAATTGATTTTTTTTCCTATTTGTAGCAAAATCATGACATAATTCTCAATGAGCTGATAAAATCAGAAACGGCTCAGCTGAAAACATATCATGCCTTTGAGAGAAAATATGGGTCTTTTATTGAAGGTCTGACAAAACTTTAGAGCTATTTTCTTATTGTGGTTTTAATTATAGCAGAGTGGATGATACTAAAATTTTAATCGTTCTATAATAACTTTAGAGACACAAAATCAATTCAAGAGCCCAATAGTTAGAAAGTCAGCAATTGAGAATCCTTTTATTGAAAAAAGAAAGGATTCGTGAATTATTTTATTCTTTAATTTATTTGTCTAATTTAATTTTTTAATTTATTTGAACTTATTTCTTCCATTCAATTTTATTATCTTTATTCCGTAATTATATTCTCATTTCATAATAAACCTTAAACTTTTAACAGATGCAAGACCTATTATGTGCGTTTTCGAAGTGAACTAAAATTTACGTCTCCCTTTACGAGAAGAAGTATGTAAATTTTAGTAAGTGATTTTTTAATATAATATAAATACTCTAATCTTCATGACATTTGTAGAATAATGAGATAGTACAATCAAACCTTTCTCTTGAAAGGTGATTAGAAAAAGTATAGCTTAAATCTAAAATATTATTGCATATTTTTGATTATTTTGTATATGTATATAAAAACGAGTTTTGTATGGTGCCGGAAATCTACAATCGTCAATCACGTGATAAAAAATAAATCTTTGAAACACTACACAGAGATAATAACTTTATAATTCGAGATACACTCGAAAAAGTTACCGGTTTATTTTTTTCGAAATTATCTCTGTGTAGTGTTTCAAAGATTCACGTGATTGGCGTTTAGATTTTCGGCACCATATAATTATAATATTTTTTCTGAGTGATTTAATTACTATTCACTTTACGAAATTTATTTTATGAAATTTATTTTTAAAAATTTCTAGTTTTTGAAACTTCTATTAAAATTTATAGCACTCCATTATTGCTCAAGGATATATACACTTTAGCCTATAAAGTATAAAATATGAAAAATATTCCTTAATCAAAAATTAATAATTAATTTAAACCAAAAAAAAATAAAATATCAAAATATTATTAAGCAATTCAAGAAGTACCCGTTATATATAGAAACATAAAAATAGTACAAGTTGATATAACAATGGCTAATATTAAAGTGTCGCGTTTTTTCCGGGTGCTTATACGACCAATTAATGTGCTTAGGTTTGGTAATAGATCTATACAAGTAAATAATAATAATGGGAATAAAAAAGTTATAGGAAGTTTATATATCGCGTCAATTTTTTTTTTGACAACTATTAATTAACTAGCTGATACATACTTGTGACACTTGTAATCCTTTTATTAATATTTAATAGTGTGGCTCCCTGTTGCCCGAAATCTTCTCTCGTTGCAAATGCTTGTCTATATTTAAATTAGACCACAATAAATTATTTATTCATTATGCTCACACAAGATGTCAATTTCTTAAAATAAGTAAAAAATCCTTTTCTCAAAATATTTTAAATAAAAATACATACTCTAACACCATATCAGTCATTCTATGGGAATTCTCAATACGACCTCGCTCACTCAGAAAATAATCAGTTTCACTTGATACTCCTGATTTGAACGAGCTTGACAAATAAATATAATCAAATAGATTAATTCGTAATTCAACGACATTGAGAATCACAGTATATAAATAAAATAGTCACCTTATATCTTCACGAACAGAACTCAGTAAATCTGCATGATTCCTAGCCGCCTGAATATTTGCTCGTGTTTTTTTAAATTCTTTTGTGTAATCATATAGAATATCACGATGCCGTTGAAGCATATGCATAATGGATGGACTTGTGGGTATTGTGGTTGGTCGATCAACGACCTCTGCCATAGAATTAACAACCATCGAGAGCTATATTTACAAACCAAAAATAAAATCTAATCTTTAATCGATATAAAGTGAAAAGCACCAAAAGCACTCGCATACCTTTTTCAGCAACTCATCTAATTCTAATTCCATGGCTTCACTCGAATTCCCACCGGCAACGTTACCACTGCTACCACTACCACCCACCCCATCGACATTCCTATTGTTTCTCCCTACACTAGTTGCTATCTTTGAGTAACTGGTAAGCTTCTGTTCTATCTCATTTTCTAATTGTCGAGCTTGTTTTCGCAGAAACTCCCAAGAAAGTTGTGGATTATTGTTGTTGCTATCTTTATTATTCGTGTTTGAAGAAGACAGCGATGAAGACGGTATATTGCTATTATTATTGTTTGCAGTGTACAATGTTGGTGGTGAAGGTGACGGATATATAGAGTTAGAGTGAAGCATGGCTTAAACTGAATCCAGATTATAAATTCCTATTACACTGATGGGGATTCGTAGATTTGTAGTGAAAGTCAAGATACTTTGTTTTTTTATTATTTATCTGATCTTTGATCAAACACATAATTTGAATCGATCGACTGTATGTGCATAAATTTTCAGTAAATGAAATGACGGTCATTCAACTTTCGCCAGAATGCCTTTACACCATTTTTAAATTTCTCGAAGAAGAAAACAGCCTGTATTCCACTTTATTTGTAAACCGTGAATGGTTATTGGTAGCCGCAAAAATCCTTTGGGGTGATCCTTTTGGTGTCTGTCTGTCTCCTTTTGACGATGAAGATCAACTTGACAAATTCGAAAAAAGTTCCATCGACTTTACCAACAGTCTCGTTTCCTTTCTTCCAAAAATCGTCAAAGATACTTTAACAACTACTACTAAACATTTAAAGTTTCCTGAATCAAAAAATGAAAAGCCTTTGGTCGACTATCTTTCGCTTATTCAGTCTCTTGATTATTACCAACTATACAACTATGTTGGCATGTGGTTGAACAAGACGCAAGTGAAATCTGTTGGAGCTCACGATGCTGCCTCGAAACAAAAAAAACAGGGTCCACAGTTTCTTCTTACGCAGGAAATTTGCAAGTTTATTATTGTCAAATCAGGTGGAATTAAACAATTGTGTTTACACACTACTATTCGTGGTCCTTTTGGATTTGTTTTACCCCCTGTAATGCCATTCACCAAATTCCCAGGTGCAAATATCGCATTTGAGAAATTAGAGTATCTCGTTTGTATAGTGGAAAAAGAGTTTTCAGAGATTTATACTGGATTATCACATCTCTCACAAGACATAAAGAGCTTCGAAATACTAGAATATAGACAAGATAATCGAGAGTTTGCAAATCTTATCAATGTTCAACGAGAAATACAATCTTTCGAATATGTTGGTGGTGATGTTGAAGCTACACCGCGTATTGCCGAAGCACTACGTGAAAAAGCACAATCATTGATTAATTTGAATATCACTGGAAGCAGTTCGATACCGCTCGATATATTCAATAAATCTGGTCTTTTGGAATCACTTGAACTTGTTGGGGATTTCCAAGTCACCGAGTTCGGAAAATTGGCCGAGACTAATCTCACAAAATTACGTACATTATCATTGATATTCGAGAATATATACGTCAAAGAATCGATCACATTATTGGAAAATACTAATGGAAATCTAACTGAGGTCGAGATATTATGGGATAATTCGCCTAACAACCGTGAAACTTGTGAACGATTGATTGAAGCGATAAAACGATTTTGTCCAAGATGCTTATCACTCGAATTATTTGTGGAAAAAGATGCAAGCAAAGGATTACCGTCATTACTTGAATCTTTGACTCTTCTTGAATCATTGACGATAATTGGCTCTATTGAGGATGACGACGACGCAGTACATGAAACCGGAGAATCAGAACATGAAACCGAAGAATTAGAAGCAATAAATGAAATTATGTCTCAAATCGCCAATCATATGCCAAGATCTCTACATGTACTTGATTTGGGTAAAAGTGATTGGGTCATTAATGCGTCGACATTAGCCAATTTTCTTCAGAAATGCGAACATAAATTGGATGCGCCACTTTATCTTGAACTTTATCACATGTCTGATGAAATTCGAGTGATCTTTGAAGAATATCAGGATAAAAATATATTGACGGAAAGTGAATGCTTGAGATCTTTTTCCGGCAATTTACTAGAAGAAAATGATGATGATCTCTCACCATATTTTGAAGAATAATGAAAAGTAATTAATCTTTTATTTTTTGTTTTGTTCATGAAATTCCTAAATTCATCAGTGATAGATAGCTTTTTGCTTTATATTATTTCTTTATTATTTAATATTTTAAACAACGTAACACAATAAATCACATAAAGAAATAATAGAGTTAAATAAATAATTCAATGCCAAAGATATTCTTTATTTTAAATAAATACTTTTAACGATACTTAAGAAAAGCAAGTTCCATATAGAGATATAATCACCCAAATGTGTAATTAGTATTATTATGGTTAATTCCTTGCTCTCTTACCGTCTCGTGTACTGTGACTGGAAGATGACGATTGGTGATGATTGTGGTGGTGATGGTGGTGATGATGATTGCGACGTTCACTAGATCTTGAAGATGTAGAGGAAGAAGCAGCTGGGGCAGAAGCAGCTGCAGGAACGTCCCATTTACTTGTTCGCTTTTTACCTGGGGCCACAATTCATAAATAGAAAAGAAAAGAGTGTAGAAAAAAAGAATCGAGCTGAAATGTTGTACCATATCTAAAATAATGGAAATATTTAAAAGTACATTGACAACATTCTCACCGGAAGGAGCAGAATTGGAGGAAACTGTCGTTGATGATGTCATAGAAGATGCCGTGATAGTGCTGCTGCTAGCTCTAGCGGCTAAACTTTGCATTACATGTCGTGATTTTGATATTCCTGCGGAACTACCAGATGAGCCAACAAATTGGATGTGAGTTCGCTGCTGCTGTAGTTGTGCTGCTTGACGCTCCTCTGTTATTCTTCTTTGAGTTTCCGCTATTTTAAGAAAATGATTGATTGAATAGGCGACATCAATATCAAAACCAATATTCGTAAATCTATTTACCTAATTTATCGGCGTACATCTCACGCGGAAAACCATACGGATCAAAAACATCTTTGGGGAAATTCGAACCAATTTCGTCCAATTCAACAAACTCTACCAATTTGGAATATATATGCGGGTTACGAAATGCTTTGTTTTTCAAAAGATTTTCGTTGAAAAATACCCCTTGTTCTTTTAATTGGTGAAAATGTGCAATTTTGGCCTTTCCCCCATAAATACATTACACGAGAAATTTTCTCCTGTTAGTATCAGAAAAAAAACAAAATCACACACGCAAAAATCTCTTCTTTCTGTTATAATCCATCACACAATACATTACCTGCACATTTGGATCACATTCAGCATCCGGTTCGGGAGGTATTCCCCAATTCTCGACATCTGGTATTGGTTTAGGTCTTAGCAATTCTCGCATACGCATTTGTTTTCTTAGTTCCTCTTGTGATTCGTCAAATTGAATTTCCATCGGAGTCAAAGTTGTTAGATTGGAGTCGAATGTTGGTGAGTTTTCAAGTGTTTTTGTCGCTGTTGGTGAAGATGATGATATTGATGTTTGTGGCAACATTCGTAGTGGTTGTTTCTCATCTGGTTGTGGTGTAGAAGAACTTATACTGGCGGCAGCATTAGGTTCATTATATCGTCGACGAACAAGAGTGGAAAAAGAGTTTGGCGATGGTGTTTGAGGTTTTGATACCGGTGAGGTTTCAACTTTTATTGTTTCTATTGCTGTTGTTTCCTTTGAAACTAGAACAATAGAAATATAATATAATTAACAAGAAATTCCAGGCATGAAGAGTTCTTCAAATATAATTAATTACCATTCATATTATCTATTGTGGCATTAGGCATAGAGTCACTCTGTTAGCAACCAAATCGAGCATAACTGGTCAATCAAACAGACTCTGTTCCCTTCACAAAAACATACAAAAAGAAAACAAGAAATACAAAAACCATATTACGTTTTTGAAGTCTACATCTTTTGTATCTTTTGGGTGAATTACCGCTATAATGGTTGAATTATTTTGCTCTACTTTTAATTATGATAAAGAATTAAGCTTTTACTTGTCAGAGAACAAAAAGAACAAACAAATATTGATTTTTTTACCAAAAAAAGATTCCGTAGAGGTTTCTTGGTTGTCGTTTTGTTGTTGTAGATCCTCTTCCTCCTCTTCGTCGTAATAAGAAAGTCCTAATAAATTGCTCATAATTGTTTTTTAGGCAAAATGTTTGTTTGATGAATTTATTGATATCAGAGTTTTATGAAACGTGATCTTCAAATACGTATACGTATATTATTACTACGGACCGGGAAGTCTACGGACAGTGCTTCGGGACAGTGCTGAATCACGTTGCCTTTAAATGTGGAAAACAGATGTCAAAATCTAGTTTGAAGTACTATTAAAAAAATGTCGGCAAAGCAATTTTCCATATAACCTTATCTTCAGCTCTAACCCTAATCCTAATTCAAACGATAAAATAATCTTTAACGTCAATTTCCCGTGATCACGTGAGTGTGGATTTTTGAAGGTCACGTGATCCTGCACTGTTTCTAAGCACTATTCGATTACGAACAATGCTAAATCATGTAATCTTTGATACAAGGAAATAAAAAATGTGAAAAAAAATTAGCTTGAAGTACTTGTAAAAAATATCAAAAAAGTAATTTTACATATAATTTTATTTTTAGCTCTAATCCTAACTTTAATTCAAATAATAAAATAATCTTATTATTTTATAATTATGCACTTAAAAAATTATAAATATATATTGTTATTATTTTTGTGAAGTTTAAGTTATTTACGTATTATTCACATGTTTCTACTAACTTAAAAGTGAAAAAGATTAAGTTTTTATAGTGAGAGAAACTAAAAACTATAACTAAAGGTAAGTAATATGTGTTCTTATTGTAATAAGCTAAAATGATATTCAATAACTTTACTAAACTTTACTAAGTTTTTTATAATTTTAAAGGTGATAATTCAAAATAATAAGTTTTTTAATTAATTATCTTTCAAGTTAAATATTGTTATTATTTTAATTAATTTTCAAAATACTCAAAGATATTTATAAGATTTAAAGAAATATTCAAAGGGAACTTTTGATAATTTAAAGTATTAATAATACTTTATAATTATTTGACTGAATATAAATAAGTATTAAAAGTACTAGTGACAAAATCATTTAAAAATTGATAATAATTATGTTCTTTTAATATAATAATTTGAATAACTAGAAAGTGTTCTCAAAATCTCAAAGTCAAAAATATAAAGATTATAATATTTGTATTATAACAAATATAATTCAAAGATAGATTTAAGAATTATAATAATGATTTCTTTTACTTTAATATAACTTTACAATTAAGTTAAAAGATTATAAAACTAATAATAACTTTAATAGACTTTATTACAAATATATTCAGAGAGTTTTAATAATTAATTACTTTATTTAATATAATTTCAATAAGCTTAATCACAAATATATTCAGAAAATTTAGAACTAATTACTAAATAATATAGTATTTGTGACAAATATACTTAAGTAACTAATACTTTATTCAAGAACTATATAATATTTATAACAAATGTTCTGAAATGATTATACAAGAAACAAAAATACTTTGTTAAAGAAATATAAAAAGAAGTTTGCACTTGATTACTTACTTTATATAAAGTACAAACTTTGCTTATATAAATAATCAAAAGTACATAATAACTAGTTATAAGATAATAATTAGAAATATTACTATTAAAGACTTGTTTCTAATCTAATTTTAATAATTATGATATATGTTACTTTTATATATATTCAAACTATATTTTATCAGCTATATGAATTCATATTTGTTAGTTTACTTAAATTCTATTGATCTAATATTTACTTATTCATTCACTTATTTACTTATTCATTTACTTGTTTGTTTATTTACTTACTTGTTCATTTACTTATCTCATGTAATTTTTTTAATAAAATATAAGATATTTATAATTCAATAATATTAAGTATGAATAATTTAATAAAATATTTGATTAAAATTTATTATATAATAATATAACAAATTGATTATTGTAAGTAATCTATCTTTCAAGATTAAAATTAATATTAAATATAACTTTTATTAAGTTATTATTAAAATTTTATTAAACAAGAACTTAACAAACTTAACAAACTTGAATTTTAATAAACTTTTAATAAATTTACTTCAAATTACTAGCTAAGTTATATTATTTTTATAGTTTGTGCAATTTTTATTTATTTTTAGTCTTTGTTTTCCTTTAATATTTTATATTTATTTTTTATTTTTAAATTTAATTCAAAATAATTGGTTAATTTAAAATGATTAAAACAAAAATAAAAAATTATAAATATTACAAAGAAATTATACAAGATAAAAGAAAAAAAAATATAAGATAAATAATATTTGATAATTTTATGAATGCTACTTTTACTATAATACTATTACTACTTTTGCTGAAATTTAATTGCTTGTTTTACTAATATCATATTGCTATTTTTACTATAATTAAATTACTAACTTAGCTATAATTATATTATTAGTTTTTCTATGATTATTTGTTAATTTTGTTATAATTATATTACTTGTTTTATTATTTAATATTAATAAATAAAATTTTTTTAGTTAGTATATTAATAAATATTATTTGATATAAATTATTTAATAAGATATAAGATAATTAATATAGTAAAAGTTCATATTATAACAATATTAAAAAATTATAAAAACTTGATTTTGTTAGTTAATTCGAAGCTAACTTGTATCAAATAGAAGACTGATATTTTTGGTATGCTTAAGAATATCTTGAATGAGCGATGATCTACTTCCAAAATTATGAGAATTTTATCTAATTTTTTCTCTAGCACTGTAAACTTGTTATTGAGATTATTCATATATTTTCTGAATTGATCAATTATATCACTGTGGATCTATAATAATGTGTTAACTTTTGACATATTATTGAAGTTATCAGCATCTTTACTTGTTATAATATATTTGAACTATTAGATAATTTTTGGTGACTGCTTGATTTGAATAATATTTACTTATTTAAATTGTTTGATTAATTAAGTAATACCTATTTATAGTTTAATTTTAGTATCTTTATTGCTGATTTTTTATAATTAATTTCTCTTATCTTATATAGTTTGTTTAGTTAGTTAAATTAATTAGCTTTGTTTAATTTTGTTTATTCAGAAATATATCAGATAATCTTTTTTGAAGTACAGATTACAAATTGTAATATTAGGAATTTTTCACAAAATTTTGCTATTTCATAGTATGAATTTTTATAATATTACTATTATCAAGTCTGATTCAGACTTAAAAATAATATATATAAAATACTACCATTAATATTTGACTAGTAATCTGAAAATAAAACAAGATTTTGCTTTAATTTGTGCAATAATGTTATCTAGTTCATAGATTGTTGTTTCTTATAAAAAAATTTACTAGTTTAGTCTTGTATCGATCTCATATTTTAATAATTTTCTGTTATCTGATCAGTAATAAAATATGAATTCTGTTATTGTCAACAAGAATAGATCAGTCATCGATTGTTACCTTTACTGTGATTTTTGTTGTAAAATATACAATAATATATTTCTATTTATTTCTGATTAGTATTCAGATATCTTTGATTTCTCTGTATTGATTAAGTACAGCTTGAATTTAACTATTGCTAGTATCAAGTGAAACATCTCAAAGAATTATGATGTATTTTGTGTTAAAGAATTGTGCTAGTTTTGATTTAATAGTAGAAAAGTATTTATTGTTAATGTTGATATCACCTTTTATTTTTAGACTTTCTTTAAAGTTAATCTCAATATATATATATTTGATTTATTAATTAGTATCACTTTTATGTTAATATATCCTCTCACATTGTGAAAAATATTATTAATATTTTGATTTTATTAATTATTGATCCTTCTGAAAAATCTTGTTCACTAATCTATTCTTTAAATCTAGCTTTGCTATTGATTATTTGTTATTTTTCTTCTATTATTTTGTCTTTTCTCTTTTCATTATTGGCTGAATTATTTTTGAAATTTAAATTTGAAATGTGTATTTTTGAAATATCTTTATTATCTGACTTTGATTGTATTTCTATATAAGACTTGTATAATATTTTTAAATCAGTTTGTATAATATTGTTATCAGATATATTTTTGTAATTATTAGTTATTGGATGCTCATTTTGAAAATTGGTGTTTCATTATTTACTTCAAATATATCACTAAAGGATGAGATTGTGTTATTGTCATAGTCTTCTTTTATAAGAACTGTATTTTGTTTTGGAATTTGATTTTTTTTATTATAATATGAGTGATAAGATGAATAATATTATTATAGGATATAAATCACAATTTTTTGATTTTTCTATTGGCTGAATTAATTTCTGGAATTTTAGCAAGATTATTGACAGTGAAAGAATATTTTTTTTGTGAATTTTTATGATAAAGTTAAAAATAATTTTTTGATAATATTGTCAAAAAAAGAACTTGGCTCTTTAAAAGAAATTATTTTGAATATATTTGAAAGATATTGTTGTATAATAATCTTTCGTTATAATATTTTATTATTGAATTATAAATATCTCATATATTATTGGATAAAGATCATATCACATGAAATGAGTGAACAAGCAAACAAGTGAGCGAACAAGCGAACAAGCGAACGAACGAATAACTAAGCGAACGAACGAATAACTAAGCGAACAAGCGAACAAACACAAACGAGCGAATGAATATTGAACTAATAGAATTTAAGTGATATAGCATACATGAATTTGTATAGCCTAGAAATTATATCTTGAATTTATATAAAAACAACATGTATCGTAGTTGTTAGAATTAGATATGAACAAGTCCTTTTAGATAGTAATTCCCAATTATCACGTCTAATT